TCTACTAGAACACTTCCCTTGGTCAAGATTTAGATATTTCCTTAGGTCGCGGTTTACTAGAACACTTCCCTTGGTCAAGATTTAGATATTTCCTTAGGTCGCGGATGCGAACACTTCCCTTGGTCAAGATTTATATATATCCTTAGATCGCTTTCTACTAGAACACTTCCCTTGGTAAAGATTTATATATGTCCTTAGATTGCGTTCTGCTAGAACACTTCCCTTGGTCAGGATTTAGATATTTCCTTAGGTCGCCTAGACCACTTCCCTTGGTCAAGATTTAGATTTTTCCTTAGGTCGCGGATGCGAACACTTCCCTTGGTCAAGATTTATATATATCCTTAGATCGCGTTCTACTAGAACACTTCCCTTGGTCAAGATTTATATATTTCCTTAGGTCGCGATTAACTAGAACACTTCCCTTGGTCAAGATTTAAATATTTCCTTAGGTCGCGGTTAACAAGAACACTTCCCTTGGTCAAGATTTAGATATTTCCTTAGGTCGTGGTTTACTAGAACACTTCCCAAGGTCAAGATTTATATATTTCCTTAGGTTGCGGTTTACTAGAACACTTCCCTTGGTCAAAATTTATGTATTTCCTTAGGTCGCGTTTTACTAGAACACTTCCCTTGGTCAAGATTTAGATATTTCCTGAGGTCGCAGTTTACTAGAAAACTTCCCTTGGTCAAGATTTTGATATTTCCTTATGTCGCGGTTTACTAGAACACTTCCCTTGGTCAAGATTTAAATATTTCCTTAAGTTGCGTTTTACTAGAACACTTCCCTTGGTCAAGATTTAGATATTTCCTAAGTTGCGGTTTACTAGACCACTTCCATTGGTCAAGATTTCCTACGATACTTTCTAGGGTCACGTTTTACTAGAACACTTACCTTGGTCAAGATTTAGATATTTCCTTAGGTCGCGTTTTACTAGAAACCTTCAGTTGGTCAAGATTTAGATATTTCCTTAGGTCGCATTTTATTAGAACACTTCCCTTGGTCAAGATTTAGTTTTTTCCTTAGGTCGCGTTTTACTAGAACACTTCCCTTGGTTAAGATTTAAATATTTCCTTAGGTCGCATTTTATTAGAACACTTCCCTTGGTCAAGATTTATATATTTTCTTATGTCGCGGTTTACTAGAACACTTCCCTTGGTCAAGATTTCCTACGATACTTTCTAGGGTCACATTTTACTAGAACACTTCCCTTGGTCAAGATTTAGATATTTCCTTAGGTCACGTTTAACTAGAACACTTCCCTTTGGTCAAAATTGCATAGAACACCCCCTTTGCCGTAAAATTAGAGATCAAGGTGACGCTTGTGTAACTACAGCAGTTACTTCTTATTTTGAATCATATTATTCATGTATTCTATCAAGTTTCAGAAATATCACAGATTTTTTTCCATTTTTTTTTTCGATCAGTATCAGTTTATAATATTACCCCGGTCGCATTACTGGTACAGACTATTAGGCACCGCTCTCCTGTCAACAGCCACGCCTAGCATTTAGGGAACAGAAACGCCTAGTATTGTTGTCAGCAGCGTTTGCGCTTGCACACTTTCAATTTATTTATATCTTAAAGTATACCAGAACCGTCGAGATGAGAAGGACAGACTATTATTGTATTTCTATACTGTCAAACAATAATGGGACAGGTAGACGAAACTCGATACTTTAAACCTCTATCAGCTTGAAATTACATACTTTGGACAGCCGTGGTTAAATGATAAAATCACATGACTTTGATGTTACAGTAATTTATATTCAAGTAACATGTATCGATGTGAATAACGATTAACGTCGGTGAACCTTGCTTGGGTTTAAACAAGACCTCTGTATAACAATGAACGTATCTCCCCCAATCAATAACAACAACTACTTATATGTATAAATGAAACATTAGAAACAAAAGTCAGTTTTCATGTAAAGGCAATTTAATTTGACAAAAAACAATACGCACATCAAACGAACAAACAAATTCTAGGCAATTTTGTAATGTTTCCTTTCTCAGTGAAATATATCTGGTATTATTGCAGAAACTGTTAACTATTCAGATCATTACATTATTTATCAACAAAAACCTATCCTAGAACGCTAAGCGACACATTAAGCTGACAATACTTGATATGGGTCCTGTTACGTTACAAAATATAGTTCTATGTGCAAAATATTTAATAAATATATAAACCCATAAAATGCTTTAGTTTATATTTTTCACAGAGTAGGCCAAATTACTTTTAAAAATTATCTAGAAAAAGCCAGTCATGTCAACTCAGATCTCTACGCGTTGTTTATACTTTGAAGCGCCGAATCAAAAAGGCGGAGAGAGAGAAAAAAGAAGTTATTTGTAACCAAACATCCTGGTAATAATATATAACCATCACATATATTAGAATGGCGGCGTGTCTATACAGAATGTTGATAACAGATCCTGGCAGACTCGCAAATATCAGATTAATGTCTCTATCCAGCCAGGAGAATGTACACAACGAAATGTCAAAATATACGTAGTGTTTTAATGCAGGGTGACATAACTTTATTATGTGATATTTTATATTAAATGTGGACATAGATATGATTTATTTTTCAGATAAACTGTATTTGCATGTTCTAGGTAATTAGCGAGCACCATCAGCATATTTGTTTTCGAATTGTAGCATTTGTTACATATTCGATCGGATTTATGTAGATTTTTATGTCTAAAAATGCCATACAAATATTTCTTTGATCTCATGTATGTTGTATTTTGTCGTTTATTTAAAATACAAATGTAACTGGTTTATCATTATAAAAAAACTAAGATTTTTTTTAGTACAACTGACATAACTTATTTAAGATTTGTACAATTAACGTTCATACTTCATATGTAAAAAAAAATCAAAAACTTTTACTATATATTTTGAAAGGTATTATGCTTTGCTTTTAAGTATTTCAACAAGGGCGAGAATATGACATGAATGTTGCTTTTATATAAATGGCTTGTTCTCAGTTCCCCCACTTTTTAAAATAACATGGGGGTAAGAATGTTGTTAGAATGACTATTCCGTCTTTGCATATTGCAGGGTTATCTTCTCTTGGGAGCAGGGATTAATTGTTACGTCACTTGTTTGTGAGAGTACCGTCATCAATTTTTGAGAAAACGACGTAATTTTCTCACACAAACCAATGACGTAACAATCAATACCTGCTCCCAAGAGAAGATAACTCTGCAATACGCAAAGACGGAATAGTCTATTTCTGAGTAGTATTAACACAGTATATCTAGTAGGGTGGTGTTCTATCTAAGCTGAAAGCTGATCATATATAATATAATAATACATCATATAAGACTTTCAAATTTTCATTAGCAAAAGTGAATTTAAAATATTTCCATATTGGTTATATATATACATATATATATTAAATATATCCATTCTGTAGTCCTTGTGCTGCTGATATGACATAATAAAATGAAATGTGTTATTTTATTTTGTAATCATTTTATACTTTAAACATATTATTAATATAATAATATAAATAGTTATAAAATGGAACTTTTCTTTATTATTGTAACATTTAATAAGATGCCTAAATACCTAATAAGAATGTTGCTTTTTTGCTTGGCCTTTTTTATTATGACGTAGCAATCCCACATATTTTGTATTTCGGCATTGTTTGTTTGCGTTTAAATAATAAATAAAATTACTATGATTTAAAATGATGTATTATCTATAAAGCGTAGCTGTACTGTCCACGTGTGCAGGAATTTGATGACATGAATCCATAGAAGATAAATCAATATGTATGTTATTAAAATATCAATATAATGTTCTATTGATTTGAAAAATATTACATTACTTAATTAAGAAAAACAGATTGCATGCCTAAATGAAAAAAAAAGTTAATCTGAACGTGGATTCGAACTTGCACCGTTCACTTCTTCTGGTCAAAAGTATATTGCGTTAAACATTCGGCTACACTAATATGGAAATACAATCTGTTTTAACCCAAGAAACAGTTTTGAGAAACTTGATCAACCATGTTTTTCGTTATTTTGAGCACTAAACTGTTATACGATTTATTTCTGCATATAACATCACGGAATCAAAAAAAAAATCAAAAGTTGGTCCTCGGATGGGAAAGTGATGAAAGTACTTTTTTAAGTCTTGAAAACCCCATTACATTCATAGATATAGTGAATATGGCTATATTTACAGTATTGTATTAACAATACCTGATATATCAGCAGTTAAAAAATTCATATTCAATTGGTTTGATATCTTTTCAATGCATTTGTGCTACTAGAAATTATTTACTCGTTATTTTTTCCCGTATTCATAAATGCCGACTTGGGGAAATATGGGCAGTTTTACGTCATAGCTCTTTAGGTACATAGTTTAGTTTGTCTTGTATTTGGTGGCTTAAAACGTGTAATGTAAATGAAATGTTCTGTATCAGTATTGATATATTTGAAGGTAAATTCTTACTATTTAGTAATCATTTGTTAATTTGTTATATCTGTATTGTACATCTTGTATGACGTATCATGTGTATATACATAAATGAATTTTAAATATTAACCTAACATTTTATAAACAGACATTTAAGTGTTTCTTATTTTATTCTATTAATTTATACTCCCCCCTCCCCCCCCCCC